TTTAAATCGTGATTCGATGAGTTCAAGGAATAAGTTTATCGAAAAAAATGAACTTATGTTCAAAAACTAAGGCTTCTAAATTTTTTTTAATTCATTAATTGAAGGAGGTATTGCATAAATACAGTTATAAAGAAAACATTCACCTTTTGATCGAAATCTGAGGTTTGATTTTTTTTTTAATTCGGGAACCGAAACATTTGAGTATTAATATTTAATAATATCTTTGTTACTTAAATTAAATCTTGCTATATACTTGGATTATGGATGAAATATAAAAATGATACTTTAATAGTAGAAATGTTTAAAATTCTGGAATTTTTTAACATTGCAGTTTTTTTTTTAATTTGGTCATTGAATCATTTGAACCTGAATTTTTTTTAATTCGGGATCAAAGGCGTTCGAAGAAACTGTTTATGGAAAAAAAAATTTAGTTCGAAAACTGAGGCTTTCGAGGTTTTTAAATTTTCTATATAAAAAACATTCAACTTTTGTTCGAAAACTGACGTTAATTTTTAAATTCGGAAACCGAAACATTTGAGATTTATTACTTCTTATTATTAAATCTTGCTATGTTTTTAGATTATGGATAAAATATAATTACTCTACTATTAAAAAACGTACGAAATTCTATTACCAAACCGAGGTTTTAAATTTTTTCAATTTGTTTATACTCTACATAATTTTTTCTCCTTATCATCAAAAAAAAATAATTTCTTTAACATCAAATATTTTACCACAGATAAATCTTCTTTTTTCGTCCATAAATATAACAAATAAGAGAACATGAAATTCATTTTACTTTCCCTGACGTCCCTTTTTTCTCTCCCTTGATAATCTCCCGAGAGTCGGGTGTTTTCTTATCAATGATGTATAGATCTGCGGTTAGGGCAACCGAGAGTCTGGTTTGAGGTTATTTTAAAAAAAGTCTTCAGTGAGTGCTGAAAATCTTTCTAGAGAACAAAAAAAACAACAAATGCTGCATTGTGGCTATGGTTACTTCCCTCTGGGAAATGTTACATCCGGATTTATTCAGTTACAGAAACAAGGACACAAGAAAAAACTTTATGGTTTTTAAAATACATACACCAAATTTTATTATTATTCCTTACATTTTATTGATTTAGAAATTCAAATTTATTTTGTAATAAGAATTAATATATAATATGAAAAAATATACCCATTTCAGATAAATAAATGAATAAATAGATTTATAGCAGCATAATTATTTTATAGTAATGATTGGGTAATTTATTAGAAAAAAGTACATTTTCATTCAGAAATGTAAAAATTCACACTTTTTTTAATTCAATTCGAAGTTATTGAATGATCAAATAATTTTTCTAAAGCAGTAAAGATTGAAAGAATATAACTTATTTTTTACAAATCTCAAGTAAACAAGCAAACAAATATTGTTTTTGTAATTGAAAGTTCAAATTAAAAAAAAAATAACTGTAATAAAATGCAATAAGCTTAGAATTAAATTTGTACATTTTTACCATAGGATAAACATATGATTGTCAAATTTGACGTGACGTTGTCAATTATTTGACATTAGATAGTGTTACCAACTGATATATTGAGTAACTAGATCAAATCATGATATAAATCAATCGTATGATTACATAATAAATCGTAAAGCCTAGTACAAGACAAAACAAAAAAATAATAGTTGTTTTCAATATAGTTGTACTGCAAATGTCAGTTGTGTGATACAATTATATAACATTAGTTTATTCGTGCATCATTCGTGTTGAAAACCAAAACTCAGTGAAATAAAGAAGGTAACTAAAAAAATTGTACATTTTTATATAGAAACATTTGAAGATTACATTTGAATTGTGCATTTTTTCCAAAAACAATTGTCACAAAATTGGGATTCTTATATTTTCAAATAATTTTTATGCAAAAATGATTAATTTACTTAGGATTATTTCTATAATACATGAAAATCTATTTTATTAAGTATTTTTATAGAAGTTTTTTTTTATTTATTTAAGAAAGAAAAAGTATAATAATTAGTTATTATACTTTTAGTTAATCTGTTACACCAGACAGTTGTGTTACATTATACAATTCAGTTTCTAATGTGAATGTGTTACAAATCAATTAAATTGAATGACAACGATTACGATTTCACTATTGAACTCATCAATCTCTGTTTTCCTGTTCTCATCTATAGGATAATTATGTAATTGTAACTGAACTATTTGATTTAAACCTAATTATTCTAAATATTTGAGAATTAATAGTTTAATTACAATACTTGTGTTTCAAAAATGTATCAATAAAACATTTTGATTGTTTCTTATATACTTAAAGTCTAAATTAAAAATTAATTGATGGACGAATGCGTATGTAAATGTAAGAGCAATTAGGTAAATCACTGTGATAAAGTATTTTTGTATAGTTGTTGAATGGAAATGGTAAATCTATAATTAATTGATTTAATTGCCAATTAATTTTATTAAGCTTTTCAAGTACACGAGCAATTGAAACATTTGTATGTTTCATTCACAAATTATTTAAGTCGAAACGGACAGGTTTGAAATTATTTGTAATAATAAATTAGCCCGAAACGCTAAAGATCGGTTTTCATACTTCATTATTTTGACGTGAAATAATCGTAGAATGATTAATTTTTTTTAAAAAGAAAATGTAAAGTAAATTAGAAAAATGTACGTAAAGTTGCATTTTTTTAAACTGTAAATTATAGTTTTTTTATATTAAATTGTTATATATTTTATAAATTTATTATGAAATTATTAAGAGGTATAAATATACTAAATTTTAAAAAGTTTACTAAATATTAAATTTCTTTTAAACTAAAGATATTTAAGACTCTTCGAAGTGCATTGACCTATTTGCATCGATACTTGTAAATAGTGGATGTAACTTTTTTTTTGATGTTACTCATATTTCCATGCTTTCTGTCCAATAGGAAAGAAGTTCAACGTCGTTGGGAGTAAAGTCGTCGACTGTTTTATTCGTCGGTCCCCAGGACGACGTTAGGACGACGACTGCTATACAGCCGACCAGGGATCAACTCCCGACAAACTCAAACTATTATCTTACAACAAGAAAGGATGCAACCGAATCAACAACGAGCAGCGATAAATTCGTTGCAACCGAATGTCCCAATTGCACATGGATTGCCGCTGTATCGAATACAACAGTTGCTGCCGTCTCCTCCACATCCATGACCTCCGAATCGATAAGTAATAATAGCTTGATAGTAAATTGTAGATCAGTTATAAAATGGTTGATGTCTGTAATTAACTTAGTTTGGTAGTTGTTTGTAATTACCTTTGATTTATATTAAGCTATTTTCTGTGTAAATTAACATTTACACCTTTAACCCTTTGAAACACTAGAAATTCCTAAATTGCTAGACCCAACAAATTTATAGACAACTGAATCTACATCTGATGGTATGAACTATCAAAATTTATCCCTTGACATATTAGTCAAATTAATTGGTAATTCCTCTGTCCTGGATATTTCCTAGAAAATTATAATTTGCGAATAAGCGGCGTATATATCCGCCCAACTTTTTGTATAGTAAACTATGTTAGTTCTACGGAGGTTTAGTTTCTGATCGCACACATCAAAGGGATCAAGTATACGATAAACATACTGCGTCAAATTGAAAATATTTTAAGTTTTTCAATGAGGTATTTTACAATTAACTAATACATTTAAAGTCATGTTTTTTTTACCAATTATTATATAATCGTTTGAATAATGCCTCCACATTAGGTCTTGTATATTATCTAGTGTAGTTTGTATTAGTGTATTAGACTATACAAGATATTTACTTCGGATATTTACTATAAAAATATACTTCAAAGGTACCTTTTCAGCTTCTTTATCCTGAAGACAGATTGCTGTAATAATATATAAAACATTGGACGTAGTGTAGTTGTACCTCTATATATAACTTTTACAATTATACATGAAAATGAAAAAAAAAGGTTTTCGGTTTTTACCTGAAGAAAGTTATTTTCATAGTTATGATAATGATAATCAGGTTAGGAGAGAGATCAATTGTTAAATTTGAAAGAATTAATAAACCTTATGGCTGTTGGCCTTTTGTAAGAAAACTATGTAACAAATTTTTATATTAATGAAGCTAGTAATATTACCAAATTTAAAATATTAAGTAATACACCAATTTTTTAACTGAAATACAATAATAATGTTTTAAGGTTTCTGACTATTGACAAATTTATTGTTACCTGAAGGCATTGTATTTTCAAATATATATATTAAGTTTAAAATAATATAACGTTTTATAACTGGTCTATAGAGATTTTTTGTTTAATAATTTGAATAAAACTGAGATAATTCTTGTTATTTTGTAGGTGAAGAGCAAACTGAGACAATTGAAAATACAACGTCTTATGCAAATACTAGTATCAGTGATGACGAAAGGACGAATTCCTCCCTGAAGGTACCGGAGTTTCCTTGGCCCGTGAAAAGGGAGGCCGTCGTCGAGGGTGATATCGTGCTCGGGGGTTTAATGATGGTCCACGAGCGTGAGGATTCCGTGACCTGTGGTCCTATAATGCCTCAGGGCGGTATACAAGCCCTCGAGGCTATGCTCTACACCCTGGACATGCTGAACGAGGGTTCGGATCAGCTGCTGCCCAACGTCACGCTCGGCGCCCACATCCTTGATGACTGCGATAAGGACACCTACGGCCTCGAGATGGCAGTCGACTTCATTAAAGGTTAGTTTAATTAATTACGCAGATAGTTTCATTAATCCTAGCTTAATCTTAATATCAATTATGGTATGGAACGAGGATTCATTTAGTGTTATCGTTTCGATACCTGACCTCTGCATTATACTAATTCCGTTTAATCATACTACGAATTATATAATAACACTTCATAAATTACATTATAATACTCTTACGATTATAGATATGATTTAAAGACATGAACTAATAATTTTTATAGAGATATTACCATATTTATGGTATTTCTAAACAAGAATTGTACTAAAAATATTGACTTTAATTCTATTTTTCATTTTCAATAACTATATTATTGAAGATGAAAAACAAATGCACTAAATATTAATTTGTTTCTCTTTTAGAAAGATCTGATTGGTAATTAGTCTTTCAGTATTTTTAAATTAAAAATATACAAGTAAAAATGCATTATAGTAAATATCACAAAATGTGGAATTTCATTAAATTGTTTGTACTCATATTGAGTATAGGTCTCAGATATCCTCCTCCTACACCTTCATCTCCTACTTTTTAGAGCGTTGTACATCTGCTTCATCTTTGGTTTCTTTTTGTCTTTTTCAACTTTGGTTATGTTTTTGTTATTCGGCTTCAGAATAACGGATGAAGAAGATGCATTTGTCCTGGCAATACGTTTTGTTTTTTTCAACCTCGGTTAAGTTGTTGTTATTCGTCTTCAAAGCAACAGATGAAGATGCATTTGTCCTGGCGATACGCTTCGGCTACGTTGGGGCATAATTTTTCACTTCTGGCAGGACTATTTTTCCTTCTGCATTAGTTTTTGAGGTTCCTCTTCGCTCCAATATAAAGTTATATAGTTCTCTGAGAAATCTGGGGGTGCTAAAATCATCACAGCCAGCTCTAAAGTCGTCAATGTATTTTAGGAATTTTTCCCTATAGTTTTATTACTGGTTAATATTGGGGGCAATAAAATAGGAACGAAAAAGAAAAGGATAGTTTTATTGCAGGTACATTATATATTATAAATTCAAAATCAGTTTCAAGAAGTAAGAATTAAACTAATATATAATTATAATTAAAATTTAACATTAACTAATTAATGTTTTCTAATTATTATGAATTTTGTCATTGATTATTATCAATTTTTTTTTTTGGAATTGATTGCTTTTATCCCGAAAATTTTTATGAGCTTCAGTTAACAATTTTTCAATAATTAGTTAGTCAATTAATTAATTTAGCGTGAACTTTCTATTAGGCGGAATGTTCCACACTTATATATGTAAAGTTTAAAATTTCAAATCAATCTAAGAAATAAAATATGTTCCTATATAAGATTTATTTATTTGTTTAAAGAAAACTTTAGAACATTTTTATTCAGTAAATTCAAGAAATAATAAAAGTAATAAACTATTAATTTATCTGCAAAATATAATATAATAACATTGTTACAAATGAATTTCTGAATAGTTACTTTTAATTCCATAAAAAATTAAAATAATTATATCATGAACTGAATCAGATTAAATTCATAATTTTTGTTTTCGTTATAATAATAAGAGATTTATTTTCCTAAATAGAAAAGTAATTTAACTTTACTGTATGTAAAATTTCATGTTGGTAAATTTTAACTTTTAGCATGTTTTAATATAATATAATTATTGCTAAATGTGACGTGTAAACTTTTATGAAAGTAATTTAAATTAGGCGTACGTTGCGTGGGCAGTATCAGCAATACGTCTTCTTTATGTATGGAAGCGCTGTAACCTTGGGGAGTTTATTAAATGTATGTAGGAGTAATTTGGAAAGGCAGTGCAAACATTTGCCGAAGATACTTTAATTTAAATTACAATTTTTGTTGCTCCAACATCATCATTATCATCATCATTCATAAAATAAACTTTAATACGTACAACATCTCGCACTTATATTGTGTAAGATCGTAATTGGATTTACGATAAAAAAATAATGTAATTAACGACATAAATAATTTTATTACATGATGTAAAATTAAATTTTGTTTTTATTTTTTTCTTTAACTATAATAAATAATATAAAAATCAATATGATAACACATATAAAAATGCTTCGATTAGTGCGGATTCACTATAATTCGGTTTGAATATTTCAAAACAAACAAAATTTTAAATAAATTCGAATAAAATAGTACAAACTATTATATTTTATAAATAAATTCATCATTTCTTCTCAGGCAAGTCTCTTTTTGTGCGGTTTCCAAGTACTCCATTAGTCTGGTTTGAGTCCTTTTTTATAACTTTATTAAAAAAAGGAAACAATATAACAAATATAAGAAAGCCTCGATCAGGACGGGTTTACAATAGTACGGTTTGAAAATTTCATAAGAAATTAATTTTTAAATACATACAAGTAATTAGTTCAGAAAATTAGATTTTATTTATAAATGATCATTTAAACAAGACAAGTTCCAAGTTTAAAAGTCCTCAATTAGTCGAGTTTCAATCATTCTGCGATATTAGCAGAACCGCACTATGCAAGGTATTGATGTAGTTTGATATACATTTGTGGTATATATCGTCGACTTTGGTATATATCGTCAAGTTTTACAATAAATTGGTTTTAATATAGGCGTATACACATTACACTACACATTTTTAAATTTAAAAATAAAATTTTATTTTAGCACAAAAAAAACTAAAAGACTTTCAAATTTGAAGCATAAAATTAAACTAAATATAAAGAAAATATTTCCACATAGGTTAATGTACAATATTGAGGATTTACTACAAAAAAACAAACTAAATTTAATACTTTTGTATGCTTCTATGCAAAATACTATTGAAAACTTAATTTTATCTTAATTCAATTTATATAGTGGTGTTTACATATTTCAGTATAATCAGTCACAAATGTTTATGTTCTCTATAATCCAGTATAATTTAATCTAATTAATTAATCTTTTAATCTATTATGAAACAAATTTTCCTAAGTTGTTGTGTACGTTCCATTAGATATTTTGTTGCAAATTTACTAGTGACTTTTATTATTTACATCGATATTCTTTAACTAACATTTACATGTTAGTTATATTTTGTTCATTCAAATCTCAAATAATGTTTTTTTATCGTTTTTTTTTAACTAATGGTGGTCTTCACTATGCCAGAAAACGTATTTTGAAATTTGCACATCTTATTAATTTGTAAGAAATGTATGGTTTTATAAAGTATAGTGTGGATGCACCTTTTATGTAATATTTTAATGAATACTTTGCATAATCTTAATTAGTATCAGACACGAAACTTGAAATTTACGTGTAAGTTAGACATGTTGATAACGCCTACAGCGTTTCTTATACAACAGCTGTTGCATGTATAACATATGTTTACATGTATATTGAATTACCAGTGGAGCTATCGCAGTGTGACGCGAATGTTTTATACAAATTAATTTTAGTTTAATTAAGGAAACTGTAATTACGGGTTTTAACGCGCCACCCCTACTCGGGAGTTAATTTAAAGACGTCGCTCGCTTTTCCAGGTCGGAAGGTAAATCGCGGATCCGATGAGAATTTAACAACTAGATAAATGCTCGTCTGATGATTACAGCAATGAGAAATTAGTTGTATTAAGGTGATGTAACAAAATGTCAAAAACTTGCTTGATTTGTGGTGCGTTGCCTTCTGTAAACCGCAAACTAATTTATCAAGTTTATGTAACTATAAATAAACCTGTTAGTGTAAATGTTCACTTAACGTACATCATTTAAATCTAAGTTTTATATTATTTATATGATTATCCAATCAAAGGAACGTACATATATTCGAACGAACGTACGTATTGCCGGCATTGATTAGTAAACAATTATTAACATTATGATCTTAATGAAATATGAAGTTTATTTGAAAATTGTATCTTCGAATGAACAATATGTGAATGATTCGCTTAGCGTACAACTATGGTGTACTTTATAAGTCAATTTCTCGACTTTACATAACTATAAATCACTTAACATATATGAAAGAAGAACCAATTCACTTATCGTGCAACATTATGCATCATGTATCATTATACAAGGTTCTCTGACCGATGTAACGTACAAACGTTCAATGGTATCTGTCCAACTACTTCGCGTGTGTACGATTCATTCATTCACTCATTCATTTAGAAAATATAAAAGAACATTACGATTTGAAATCAGATTGGAAAGTGACAATATTCTATGTTCATTTATCAGCTTTACATAACAATAAACAAAACTTTTAACACAGATGAAACCATAGTTAATTTTACTTAACGTACTGCATTTGAATGTTTATTCAAAAACAAATTTGGTACTAATGGTGACAATTGGACTACTTTTAGGAATCATTTTAGATACAACAATTTAGACCGCTTAAACACATTTGATATTTAGTTGTTCAATTAACGTACATCGTTTTAAGAAACTTTCAATAATATTTTCTTGATTATTTAAAGCTCTAAGAACAGTCATACAAATATTACCTTAAAATCAATATACTATTGCTGTCTGACGGCTATGTGTACGTACGTGTGAGTGACTTGTACTTAGGTGCGAACGACACGTACGTATGCGCAAACAAGAAGATATAACCATCCCAAATGAACAATAGATATTAAATAATCCCCGAATTTACAGTATTTGATATATAATATAAAATCCTACTATTATTTGATTAAATTTATGAACAAAAAAACAGCTTGAGATGCTAACGGCGATTATCGTGTAATTCTTGTACGCATATTGTATAACCAAGTAATTCACGTCAAAGTTTGTGTCGGTGCCATTATTCGGCTTTCAGCGCTCTAAATATGTTTATGTCCGATATGAAAACAGCTTTAATGAATGTATACGTTCGCATAGTGCAATAATTAAAAGTAACGACGCCGTCGCCTGTCGCTAATCGAACTTTTCTCATTAGTTTTTGCATCGAATGTGCAATAATGAACGCAACAACAAATGCGGACACTTTAAATTGTATTTCACTCCTGACGTTATTATTTATTGTGACGTGGTGGCACAGTGC